CTTCTGGCTCCCCTTAGGTCATATGATATTGAAGATTACATCAGTCACTGCGTCTCCTCTGGGAATGGGGCAGCAGCTGTAACTAAGGCCCGGTAGACCTTAAAATTACCTAAATAAATTTTGATTTTATTTAAGCCGATCAGGCACCCTATGGGTCTATGCGGGTGACTATCTTCATTATTTACAAAGGAGGAAACCAATTTGATGAAAGCCCCCTGATCCTATCTATTTGTGTTTTTATCAGTTTGTTTAGTTTACCTTCAGGAAGTGCAGTGTACACTGTTCAGCCAGTGAGGATCCCGTCCTCTCCCTTTCCATATCGTTTTATTATATCCGATATTGCTACCTCGACTTCCCCTGCAGGTCGAAACTGTTTTATCTATCCCTTGTTTAGTATCAACTGTGTGATTCTAGCCACATCTTCTGGGCTGTTCATCATGGCTTCAAATGACCTGACTTTAGCTTATCGGAGAAAGTCGACTCTTCCATTTGCCTACTGCGGACACGCCAATACCATGTGCTTGACGTTTTGTGACAGATATCCACATTGATAGCTCGGCTTTTCTACTCCAGGTACTTTCCTTCTGTACAGGTAAGTATTGAGCCCGATATGCTCGCTTCTTAGCTGAATGGCGACACTGCTTTGGGCCCTGGTTAGGTTACGGTGGATGTGTAAGGGTGTATCTTTGAAATCCATTTTGGTGCTGTCTGTTTGTTCATCAGTAACCACCGAATAAATTGATATTTAAACAGAACTTTTAGCTCCCGCGATAGCCCAAAACTAATACAACCCGATGGTCAGCTGGTCCAGTGATATTCGTTTTTTAGCCATGCAGCATGAAGGTGCGGCAGCCACGGTTTTATAACTAGGGATGACTTGCTCCATGCTCCCTCTGCATTTAGTGTAGGATTTATTGTGGGCTGGGATGTCAATGCTAGGAAGTGCTACTGAGGGATCAGGAAGAGCTTGGCATGGTCAAGGGGCCAGGAATTGCTGACGCCCGGAAAAGACACTGCTTTTTGCGGGCGACGGATTGGATGCGTCAGGATCTGTTAATTTACAAGCAAGCTGTGACCTTCTATCCCGAAGCATATCTGACTGTAAGCGAACGGTTTTGACTTTAACGTCCACCGCGAGACTCATGGCCAGGGTAGGTTACGAGAAGACAACGTCCAGCCTCATCCCTCGAGAAGAGTCTAAAAATCTAAGCACATATTCGCCCCGAAGCAGGGCTGCTTTACACGTGGTGATCTTGGTGCTTATTTCGCTACTTGTGTCTGCGAAAATGTAGCGCGTTGTGGTGCTATCTTAACTCGATCACAGGGCTCACTGAACCTCATAGAATTCAACCTCATTTTCCACGAAATCTTCAACCCACAAAAAATTGAAAAGGTGGCGATGAAGACTGCGTGAGTAGGAAAAATCTTCCAAAAATCTGTAGCCCCAACTAGGCGATTCCCAGACACCAGAGATAAGTAAGATGCGTATATACCTCTACATCTTCTTTCTACGTAACAAAAAATTCCAACTTGATCTAATTCTCCACCATTGTGTCGGTTGCTGGGTACGCTCCGTAAACCCATCGGACGGCTTCTCCTCCATGGTCAAGGATTGGTGATGAGGAGGGCTTCGACCTAACCATCTGACCTGATGGTGCTATGAAGATGATACGGATTGCGAGACTTGTCGGAGATGATGCGATTATTGTCTATCCTAAATATGCACAGCATGCTATGCCTTCACACCGGCACCACTGGGAAGTGGAGAAACCGTCTTTGCTGACAACCTGAGCATCCATTAGCCTCAGAATAGAACATCGCCGGTTGCACACCTGTAAACCTCAAACAAGTTTCGCGGCAATACTGCACTCGACATGGCACATTGAGGCGATTAGATATTTCGAATGAAACCTTTGATGCTTACTTGTGGATAAGTTTTACCCATACAATGTTAACACAATTTCTTCAGTTTTAGTGGGCGAATCAATGAGAGAGGATAAGTGATTACTGTGCCAAAAATTCTACATGTAAAAACACTTATCAAGCAACACATAAAGACAGGTGATCCTAAGCCCATTTCTCGGCCCACAGTATCGGCTAAGTCTATGACGATGCAGGACTTCTAAAAGCTGTCAATCTTACCCCTGCAAAGGATAATTTTCTAATTTAAGCCCCACTGCCACGAACCCACAAATAATGACTCAAAAATGGATTGACGCCCTATGAATGGCAAACATCGGTGAGATCTCAGGTTTGCGGGCAGAGATTATTGGCGGCTTTCCTGAAGCTTCCAGTTAAACTTGTCCAGTATTGGCCTGGCCATCTTCCCGTAGGTAGTCGCGCAGCCCTAAGACTTCGCGCATCTGGTCGTTTGCCGAGGGGTCATAAGACTGGAACTAGTTGCGCAACGGTGACCCCAGATGGACTCCACTTTATTGCCGCAGCCACCCCAAGTTTCGGCTCTTTCGGCCTAGACGTACCGGCGCCCCTGATGGCGACTTGACTCATGTCCCCGCCAATAGTTTCGACCCCCCGGAGAATCGCTCAGACGCATCAGCAAGGGAGCTTGCTAGCTCAGCAGTACACAGATTAACTTCATGTCGCCAGGCTCAGACAGCTCCAAAAAGGTCTAGCAGTATTTTATGATCCGTCAATGGTGGAATTGACCAAGGGTCGCCAAGGGTATACTTTGCTAACCAAATCAGAGATAGAGCCAGTTAACCCCATTCCTCACAGCCGGGTGGGATCGCTGGTTCACACAGAATTGTGAGGCTCAAGGCACCGCGGACCCAGGCTGATCATCAGCATCTGATTCCAAAGTGACGCAGCAGACAGGTCTTCGCGCCGGTGCTCGAGTTTGTCGCTTCTAGTAGAGATATGATCTTCCGAGACGATTTTCCCTGAGCCATCGATAGTTGGCGGCGAGATCAGAAAGGAAATGATATTTCGGCCCTCAGAACACCGTCTATGCAAGAAATAGATGAGACCCTCACCCCAACCCCTTTTGGAATATGCTTACAGCGTCGGATTACTTTGCTGTCACCGTCGCCAGTGCTCTCTAAGCTGGTCTCAATGCGCACTCATGACTATCGTCCAACCGTTCACCAAGCGCCTTCTGTCACCGCAGTGCACAGATATTTGGTGCACTCTTGCGCATTGACTAACGTGAGTCATGGCTACAAGCTGGATTATTCCATGTTGATTATCTATTCCAGAATACTCTTCTCCAAATGAGATGCATGTGTCACGAACCATTGAAGGGTGGAAACTAAATTCTCGAGGCATTGAGGCATAGCTTCTCCGTGAACATATCTTTCTAGTCGGAGATTGGGAAGGATCGAGATGGGATACGACAGTTGGCTGGCGGCTCCGTGCAGAAACAAGGTCTGGCGGCCCTTTTATTCAAGAGCCGATGTTCGGGCTTTTAACTTTCCTCGCCTTCACGTCCGCCGTTCTCCCCAGTTATCATTGTGTCTACTCGAGCTCCAAAATACTGCAAGTCATCAGACTACAGTGTGCTGTCAAGAGGACCAAGGAACTACACAGACGGGCCCTACTGTCCCCTGTACATTCCTTCTTTCCGTCCACTTACCAATCTTCGAGGTCCGTCCAAACCCTTGGTAGCAGTCTCAAGTCCCAGATCAGACATAAACATCTTTCTTCTCCGATATACTTCTCCGGAGAAGACATTGGACCGTTGCAACACTGTGACCATTGAGTAACAGGGTCGTGAAACCAGACAGATACGATTCCGGTACTGGGAGAGACGTGAGCCAGCGTGTAGCCTCGCCCCCAGCTTCATATTTCATCCCTTCGCTCAAGAGTCAGACTAATCGTATGCACGAGTGCCCCGCTGGGCGTCAATCTTTCATGTCCCCTGATAGGCAGCCATGTCGAGCCTCCCCTTCTACGCAGGGTTTGATGCCGTAGCTCCAGCCAGTAATCCAATGCCGTCATGCTGTCGTTGCATCCTGGATAACAGTATCCCTCGGTCCGCACTGCCTTGTCTACCTGTGATACACGTAGCCTCAACTTGCCCCCCACTCCAAAAACATGCTGCAGCAGACCGAAATGCTCGCAGAATGATGTCTTCGCCGCTAGCCACAGAGACATCTTGGTTCCTCAAAGCTCGCGGCCGTTAGACGCGTCGTTACTCGGTTGGCTAGGGATCAAATAGTGTTAGCAGGGTTGGAATAATTGCCACCAACTTCGTGATTATGAGTTCTTGGAAGACGCTTTGAAGACTGGTCCCGTTCGCACCACCGACCTAGATCTTTGTTATCTTCCCTATTTACTTGGCTGTTTAGTGGAATCTTACGCTAGGATATGAAGTGCAGGGCGTAAGGTTGACGTGACTACACGGACTACAGCGCCAAGTGAAGGTGAGGTCGAAGATGAAGTTGTATAATTGTATGCAGAGACACCAGCAACTAGTAGATTGGTGGTAGCAGTAGACTGGGTCCCAAAGGCGAAGTCGTAGCTTCAGAATCTAATCAATCTTGTGAAATTCCTCGCCTGTCCCCACACCGAGTCCTACCACCTCCCTAATCTTTCCCATAAAGATCTCAAATCCTCACCGGAACGGCCCTTCCTTCTTGGTTTTACATTAGCCATTGAATCCTTCATCATCTATTCTTCTTCGCATCTATAGTCGCTCACCACCCACACGAATATCCAAAGTTACTTCATCGCTTATATCCTTAATTATCACTTTGCGAGCTTTACTGTCGACTTTATTCTTCGCAACATATCTACTCATTTGCGAGCACCATCCTTGCAACGCTTTTGCAAACTCGTGAACAAATATTCGTTATATCGCTTTGCTTGGATAATTGAATCTGTATTGCGCCGCTCTCAAGTTGGCGATCCCCCGCTTCGAGTGTCAATCGTTCACGTGGCCCCCGACAATCTCTTTGTCCCCGTGCCGATTAATATTGATCCGTGTTTCTTTGGTCATCCAGATCTGGTACATCCATACTATTCTCTTTGGTGCGAAGAAGATGCCGGCGTCTACCCTCAGCTCCGTTGAGAGCATCAAGCGTGAGGGGCCTCTATCATCTCCTGCTCGAACCTGTTCTCGACGCGCCAAATTTCCCGCACCACTTTCGGGCTTACCACCCTCGCCAGTCGATAGCCAGTCCGAATTTTGTGAGGAACATTCTGCTACCGCCAAGGAAGAAAAACGATTAACAAGAAAGATTACGCGTAGTACGCCTGGTGATCCAAAATCATCACTTGAAATGAAAAACTCATACCAGAGAGATGTGGCCCGAAAGCGGAGTCTCTATTTTGAAGATGCGTTTGCTGTAAACCGCAAGCCCTTATACAGCCCACGAGAAAGAATCCTACTCGAATCCTTGATCATGGCTGATATTAAAACAAATGTGATTGTATGTTAATGTGTCTTTCCTATTCAAATCCTTTGTGGTGTAAGCTAAAATCTTATGCTGGTATTTTTAGATTCATGACGAACACACCTTCATTACTGATCTCTCGTATGCACTCTCAACTCGATACCAACGTCCTCAAAACTCTATACTTGTAACCATGTCACATTCTTGCTGTGTGCTATTTGGTGGTAACTTCGAACCGGCTTATATCATGAATATAACGGCCCTTCCATCGCAGGTACTGCCCGTTACCAACAAAAGAAACGCAGTTCTTCTAGGTAGATTGATGGAAGAATCTTTGGGGGTATCGGCTGAGCGCGGAGTCATCAAATTCACTGCAATTGCAGAAGAGAACCTTGCCAATCATGGCCGAACCGTGGCCGCTGATATTGAAGATTTAGAAAGGGCTCAACATGAATCTCAACAGTCAGTACGTTGTCTATCTTCTCGCGGCACAATTCGAAGTCGACGTCGACCAAGTATGAAGTCGATGCGGAATCACAAGGACGGGTATCTACCAACCCACGATGAAGTAGCCCCAAATGTCTCATCACCACCCATCAGCAATGATCGTCATTGTACATCTTTAGCAGATTTATCAACGGGAATGATCTATATGGACCATCGTTCAGACAGAGTCCAAAAGATGGGTAGACGAAAGAGTTTTATGGCCTCTATATTTGGCCGAGCAGGATGAAGCCAGGTGAGGAGCGAAATCTTAGGCACTTAATACCTGGGCAAAAACTGGGTTCTTGGTTTAAATGGGATACATTTTTATAGCGAGGAGTTAACAAGGATGGCCAATAAATGATAGAGTGATAGCTTAGGGAGGAAAACTGTGGCCACACGGCATGAATTGATGACGTTAATGTATTCTAATGATAAAAAGGTATGGAGTCTAGTATTAATTCAATGTGGTTTTAATACGTGACTTGTCACTTTTCAGGGACTTCAAGGATGTACAAGGTAGAATTTGATTCTAGATATGCGTTCACTCGAGAAAGATAGCTCATACAGATGATGTTGGACAACTTTTGTCCAAAACTATCCAACTGTCGATCAGGCGGAATCTTCGTATTGCCACATTGACTGTAGTCTTTGATTGACGACGTGAATGTTCCGTTACAGCTAATGGAGGTGAGTGTCGCGCTCTGTATTCGTGCTTCCCGCAGCCATTAGAGATTGTTTATGCATGGTTGAGGGCCTGTGCCATTTACATCCAATCAAGTCCTTATCCCACTCATATCCAGTATAGGCTTCGAAAGCGGCCGCAACATTCGATCTCTTCACCTAGAGTTTAGGGGGGTACAGAGTCCAGAATTATCAGCCATCATTTTGCCAATTATGACTCAACACAATATTTCAATGGATTTAGATTGAATTTCATCTCAAGAACCCGTCTTTTCTACATGATATACTGTTAAACCCATTATTATCGGAGAAGTCTAATTGTTAGCATTAAATCCTCATGATCCATTCTACTTTAGGAACGAGTGTAGAATAACTGACTTGTTTAATGGTCACGATCAAAGCCTGCTGGTACATGTCATAACTACATAATATTTAGATATCTTTTTAACTATTAAATTTATCAATTCAATCAGCCAAGCTCGGCCCATAAGACGAAACAATCACGATATACATCGTCAATAAGATGGAGGTATGTCTGGTCTCATGTACATACTACCTTCACGCCAAGTATTTGGATTCTCTACCATTTGTTATTTTCTTGTAACGTCAAAGGCCGACAAGCCTGGGCGAAGAAAATGGAATGTCCCAAATTCGAAGTCAGCACCTAGACCAAAATCTCTACACTTTTGAGTGACCAGCACCAGTTTAAATTATACTATTCCCTGCTTTCAAGCAATTACTTGGCTATCCTTTTGGTCGAATTAACCTTTCCCGACCGTAAAGCATAGCTCAGATTCTTGATCAGCTTCGCGTCGTGGGACAGCTCGGAATTTTCGTAGCTCTACTTGAAGAAATCAATAAATAAAACAGAGCTGATGAAAATCTTAGAATGGTCATAAAAGCCATTTTACTGTCAAGTGTCAGGTTAACCTAAGATGAAGCCATTCACGAACAGTTTCTCTCGAAGCCTCTTGGCAAATCTTCAAAACTTTAATGTCTATTTTCAGCGCTATTTTAAACTCGGTTTTCCAAAGAAGAATGATATTCCAAGATATTTTATCGAGATTACCATCCGGAGTATGTTACACTACTTCCTGCATATTATACATCAAAAATCTTGTTTGGATCTGGGAATTTATGTTACGGCCCTGTGCCTTGAAGACTGCATGAACAAGCACTATTTCTAGGCTTGGTAAGCCAGCGCTCCTATACCATCAAATTTGGTTAAAGAATATATTCGTATACTTGCGAATAACGTAGTGGTTCGACTACAACCTAGACGTCTATAAGTTCCGTCTTGATCTGGCCCAGCTAAGCATTTAATTATATCTAGAACCGTACAAGCGCCTTTCATAGGAATAAGTCACAGGCTCTGGAGCCTCCACGAGCTTCTAATGCTTTAAGCAAGCCCAGGCTGTTATTAATGGGCCTAAGAAGGTCAGTGAAGACTAAGACTCACAAGAAAATCATAATGACAAGGAACATGCAGGAGCGGAAAGTCATCTATCTCTAGCGTAGTGTTCCATAAAATGCCGCCCCACGAAACCTTGTTCATAGAATCTACCGCAAGGCTCCAAAAAGATTCCATGCTGTGAGTTTATCGCCAGTTGCTCGAGAAAAAACGAAGGTCGTTTTGACATTATCCTCAAGCTCTTTCATGGACTTCCAGGTCTGGGACTTTCCTGGACAAATCGATTTCTTGGATTCATCCTTCGACCTTGATGCAATTTTCGGAGAAATTGGAGCTTTAATTTGGGTGATTGACGCGCAGGACGACTATCTCGAAGCTATCGCGCGACTCAACAGCACTTTCTTAAATCTACAGCCACACTATCCTCAAGTCAACATCGAGGTTTTTATTCATAAAGTGGACGGTCTCTCAGATGATTATAAGCTCGATGTTCAGCGAGATATTGTCCAACGTATCCAGGACGAACTCTCTGATAACGGGATCGAGAATGCGCAAATTAACTTCCACCTGACTTCTATCTATGACCACTCTATCTTCGAAGCCTTTAGTAAAGTCATTCAGAAGCTCATCCCGCATCTATCGACGCTAGAAGCCCTTCTCAATAACCTTTGCTGCTCCTCAGGCTTCGAGAAGTGCTACCTTTTCGACGTACTTTCCAAGATCTACGTAGCTACCGACTCTTCACCTATTGACATGCCGTCTTACGAAATTTGTAGCGACTTTATCGATGTTATTGTCGATCTTGCTGAAATATATGGCTGGCAACGGCCACAGGACTACATTAATAAGCTAGAAGGCCCTCCTTGGAATAAGCCGCTGAAAGACCAGGTCGCATGCCCCGAAGTCGAGGCATGCTGTGTAATTAATGACGGCAAGCGACCTATAGTACTGCGTGAGGTCAATAAGTATCTTGCACTCGTGGCGGTCGCGCGTGAAGGAGCCTACAGCAAAATGCCATCTATCACAGAAAATATTAACGTAACGGTAGAGGGCTTGTTAAAAGTATTCGAAGTGACACAAGGCCGAAATGATTTGTCCGAAGGCCGATGAACGGGAGGGCGCTAACATACGCTCAAAAATAATTACAATGATCCTAATATTAAAACGACTGGAGTGTTATAGTTGAGACCAGGATGACTGCACATGTTCCTCTTTAATACAACCCAGAAAGCTACGCAATATAGGGGTTTTATCCTATCCTACACGTACAGGATAGAAAATTCATAAAGTCTTGTGTAAGAGCACTCGATCTGGTAGTCCTGAGGCTTAGTTCACGCCTTAGGCATACAAGTTAATAGAGACAGATATATACACCTTAGTCAACTACCACTTCTGCCATAGCAAACCCATTCTTACAACCTGTGATATTACAGAGGCTGATTCTATCATACAAATATCTTGATGTCAATTCCCTTCATTTATAATTGACACATGTCTTCCAGGTCATGGTGCAGACGTCCAGGAATGACAAAGAGTTATCTGTCCCAGACTTCCAAAGTTATAGTTACTAAAATATCATACAAAAGCGGTTAGCTGATGATTGACTAGGAATTGCCCGGTATGGAGCTAGGTAAAACTATTATCGATGACGTGTATGGACAAACAATAAGATCTAAGTTCCATCATAGTTTCGAATTCTACCCGTCGAGAAGTTCGAGTGTAACAACTTTCAAGAATTTTTGGGGCTGAACAAACAGACACACGAGACATAATGGTATTACGCCTAAAACTTGAAGTTAGTGGGGTAGATGCTCTATTCAGACAATAGAAAGAGGTGTGTTTATTGTACTTCTTGAGTCATAGACTATCTAGCACATTGAGCTCCTCTCTGATCCAGGCCACATCTTTTATAGTGCTCCTATCTTATTTTATTACTTGTAAAATCATTGATATATTGCCCGTGATGAACAGCCATTCAGCTCAGCACTTACCTGTGGAATTCAGCCACCTTTTCCACGGAAATTTCTGCCCAAATAATCAAATTGGTAGAAATGGAAACTACGTGCGCCAGAAAAGGTCTCAAGAGACCTGCAGCCCCAGCCAGGCGAGGCCTAGACACCGGGGTCACATGAGGACTATTTAGATAGAATTTGGCCCGACGAGAACTAACTCTACTAGTCAGCCGCTAAGATTAGCTCTCAATCTTTAATCTGTAATTTAAAATAGCATAACCACTTAGTCCTGTCCTTTGCCCGACAATATGCGCACCCCAATTTTGGTTCTCTGTGACATGCTGCTGGGGAAATCTCATTGCCGTCAACTAGCCTCAACATATCCACTGTAGGGCTGAGTTATTTGATAGCTTACGAGAAGGCAGAGGCTACAGGTGTATATGCATTGAGCAAGCTTGGAAATATTAAGCACATCTAAGGTGGCCCTAGCATGTGGCGCATAGACGGTGAGTATGCTATCCAGATGTCTTGAGAACGGAAAACTCACATGAAATTTTGTCTTGTTTGATTGAGCAGAGTAAACTGTATGTATAAACTAGGTGGTCCATGTAATCTGTCAGTAAACGAGTTGACTGGGCTTTAAAGGAGAGACTTTTCCTACTGTAGATTATTATTAATATATTAGCTCCATAGATACATTCCAATACACTCTCCTACACCTAATATCTCCGCAGTTAAACGCATTTGTAAGCCCCCAGTTTAATACAAGTAAAATAGTTTATGTGATGGAAACCGAGTTGGTGATGGATAAACGGATTTATTATACTACATGAAGAGAAAAGAAAACTGTAGCTACTACCAACATGTGTTTATAAGAATTGGTCCCCTTCCACAATCTTCAGACGGATGACTTATCCCTAGGCACAATATTTGCTACCCAGCCACGCATTGGCAGGTGTCACTTAGCTGTAGTAACGCTTCGACCTCCTGCGTATTGGTGCCGTCTTGTTCAGCTCATCTCTCCTTCCCCATGCAGCCTTGTCGTAAATATTTTCAACATGACCCTCAAGTATTCACCTAAGCTGGGTTTAATGGTGCAGTGGTACACCATCCGGGCCGATCTCCCAAGTAGACTCTGGATAGCTTGAACACCTATCCCATTCGAGATAGGAGAAAGCTGGTTCTAATCCAGTAAGACCCACACACCACACTCTCTCGCGGTGATATCGTACTTGTGGGATGATGAAAGCAAACTCGGATAGTCATAGGGTTTTCACGCTTTTCCCTGTGGTGAGTATGCACGGAAGAGGTTATACGTCGTAAGGGTTAACCTCGAGTGGTATCTGCAAATGAAATCTGTGTGTGAGTGTTCTAAACGTCAAATTGAGTCATCCTACTTAAAGTACATTTCTTCCGGTAAAATCTGTATTGATCTCAAGGCGCCAAATTAGGACAATTGTATAATTCATTTATTCGCCTAGGCTTAAAAAACGGTCAAACCGCAACAGTTTATGGGCCCGGTGTAGTACCACGTATTAACGAACCATGCCAATGATATCCACTCGCAGCTCATCATTTTTCAAATGAATCCATGATTATAAAATGTATAATTTAGTAATCCAACTCACCCAAGATTGTCCTCTCCAGAAGTCTCTCTCAATAACTTAATCTGCGGTCTCAATGCGAAATTCGACAAAGTATATGCTATCGGACATGTATTCCTCCATTTTGCTGAAATACAAGCAGTCCAGGGGGACTATTCTCAATACCTGCCAGTGGTGTCCCCTACGAACCTCCAGCTCTCAGTGCAGAGTCTGCAGAGCCGAGATTGAGTAACAAAGTCCTCACTTCGACGAGGATTCCCAATCGCTTTCGCTGTTTGTATCATCTTCATCTCTCAACACATTCCCCTATCACCATCATCATGAAGCTAACCACGATCAGATCAGATGGTAGGGTCGGAGCCCTACTCGTCACCAACCCTTGATCATGGAGGAAAAGCCATCCGATGAGTTTCAGGAGCGTACCAAGTTCCCGATACGGCGATGGTGGATTAGATCAAGTCGGCCTCGACTGTTACGAAGAAGGGAGATACGGATGAATATACGTGTCTCATGTGGTCCCGGTGTCTAGGCCTCGCCTGGCTGGGCCTGCAGGTCTCTTGAGACCTTTTCTGGCGCACGTAGTTTCCATTTCTACCATTTTGATTATTTTGGGCAGAAATTTCCGTGGAAAAAGTGGCTGAATTCCACAGGTAAGTGCTGAGCTGAATGGCTGTTCATCACGGGCAATATATCAATGATCTTCCAACTAACAAAAGAGGATGGGAGCTCTGTATAAGCTGTGACCTGGGCCAGAGAGGAGCTCAGTTTTCTAGATAGTCTATGACTCGAGAATCACAATAAAAAAACATCAAAAGCAGTGCAACCACCACTTGATCTAGGAGGACTATGTCTTAACACTTATTCATCGTTTTCTATAAGAACATGGGGGTGTAATATTCTCTCAGAGGGCGAGATTCAGCCCGAACAAAGGCGGAACTAGTTATATTTGATGGATTATCGGCTTGAATGAATTTTAACCTTTTTTTTGGTGCAAAAATCAGTCGATAGAGATTTCACACCCGCATGAAATTTGAACAAAAACTCATCACATCACCTACTCATACACGCTCTCATGAGGAAAGTCATGATGTGAAAGGGACGTGCACAATAGAGGGAATAAACACTGAATGGATCACACAGATCCCTATTGACGACAATAACCCAATTGTACGATGAGGAGGTGCAAGGCTAGAGCAGCTCTGGGATCTGAGACGATGCATGTACTTCGAAGATAGTGAGAATTTCAAGGCCTTGGGCGCGTTGTGGCTAAGACTGAGGAGTCTACTCTACGGCGTATATACAGCAGCTTTCCTGACGGTTGACTTTGGTATGATTCAACACATAGGTGGAATCTGAGGTGGCCCGGTAATTTAGATGGGGCGAGATTTATTATACTTACATGGGAATTAACCTGATGTAGCCCAACCCCACTCGTGTTCAGGTTCCCATAGGAGCGCGGATAGCGCCCATTGGGCAGCACGTTAACCTTCACAAACAAACAAATACCAGCCGCTCTAACGAAATAATCGATCAAAAAACAGCTGGCTAGCTTCTAGCACTAGATGCATATTTCAACGCCTTTGAAAATTGGTCCTTAAGGGAGATATGCGCCAAGAACAGTATTTTGGTAAGACTCGACCCATCCACTCGACTATGGGACTACACTCGAATCACCGCACAAAAACTCTACAATTCTGGCATCAACTCCCACAAAGAAATAGCTGCAGTGCCTTGTGTGCTGGCCCTGGACGATTTCCTTAGCACAAAATTTGTGTCGCTTACTGACGACTATATTAATAAGTTTCTGGCTAATACCAGGGCCTTAATAATGCGGCTGAGGGTCTTTATGCCACAAAAGTCACAGATTACTGCGTGCCGAAGGTGCCATCAGCAGCTATCCCTGTACAGGGAGCCAAGCATGTGTCTTGGCTAGCAAGCTAGAGAGATCTTCGGGCATGTACGGACCAAATTTCCTACAATCCTCTGGAGTCTATTTTGTCGACAATTATTGTTATAAATTGCAACAGAGCGATCAATCAGTCTTCCCAAATTTTCCAAGTTTTCGCCGCGCATGACGCCCCAGACAACCTGAATCTCGAAGAAAATTGTTAACGATACCCTCACCGACACAAAAGTAATGATTGGAGGGCAAGACTGAACACCTGTACGCGGTGTCCTATACGAACCTGGGGGTGAAATATTCTCTCAGAGCCAAGTTCAGTCAAATTTCGCAATACCGAACAAGTTGGCCCACGAGGCAATGATTCAAATAACTCCACCACGTCAAATCTTCACTCCGAAAGAGTCCGATTCCTACGTAAGCCTCATCAAGTCTTTAAGTACAACCTAATACATCCTTATTCCAATGATCACACCTCCTATCGATTTTCTCTGGCCTCAGCTGGTCACCAAATACACGCCCACGCCGATATTTATACCCGACGGAGGACACAAAACGTGGCGCACAAATCTGGGAGACAGTTTTTTGGGAATGGCGTGAGAGGAACCAGGACAAGTTGATAAGATGATGCAGAGGATGGATACAAACTTGACG